ATTATTTTATTTAAAAAATACTAAATACAATTAAATTTTCCAGGCAAATTTGCCTGGAATACAGTTTAAGGGATAGACTAGAAAAACCCCTAGTAGATTTTCAATACAAATTATTAATCACCTTAAAAAAAAAAAAAAAAAAATTAATTATGTCAATTTATATGAATCTAATAAGATGCATTCAGAATATTAAACAACCTCTATAATCTAGCCTTTTATAATATTTTTATGTTGCTATACCAGAAATGCCTCCCAAAGTATTTATAGAGTACTATACTACAAATACACGCGCTGCGGTGAGACGACATTGGACATGAACTAAAAAAGTTTCGTCACATGCAAAGAAATATCATTGGCTAATCATCAGATGATACTAATCCTCAAGATGTTCGGGTTATATAACGACATTTTGGCCTGTAACTATTGCCACTAACGTCACGAACGTTGTTTACGCGAAGTCGCAAATATTAAATTTCATTTTTTTACAACTGTTAAAAATTTTACACATATAATCATTTGTAAATCCAGATCTTCATGGCAGAAACGTTGGAGCAGGCCAAAATGTCGTCTGATGAGCCAGCTGAAGCTGTGAGTGAAAAAGTTTCGGAAACAAGTAAAAAAAGAAAGCACGTAGGCGAAGTTGAACCCGTGCTTAATGATAGACCTCGACGACAAGCACGTCCAGTTGTGCCTTACGGCTCTCAAGCTTCTGAAACAAAGTTACGTATCAAACCACCCGTTAATATAGTCCAGGGAAAGGGTATCCCACTTGGTCAAATCCCATCAGTAGCTCGTGCAATCGACAAGCACAAAACATCGGACGAAACTCTTAAAAACATACACAGATTATTTTACGGTCGAGCTGGTACAAAAAATGACATCAAGTCGCATCTACGCGCTTTCTCAGGTCTTAATCCCGAATCTCCCGTCGATGCAACGGTGATCAAAGAAAAGCTTGAAAAATTGAAAATGATTGCATTGAAAAAGATGTGCGCCTTTTTTAATATTAAAGTATCGGGTGACAAATCTTCAATTATCGAAAGGTTAATTGAATTTATAAAAGAACCTTTCGATACTTCGAATAAAAAAGATCTAAAATTGCATAAAGATAAAATTAAAAAATTAGAATTGAATCAAAAAGCTCGAGATATATTCTTTCTTGAACAGAGAAGCATATTCAAATCTAAAGAAGAAAACAAATCTGCAACTAGAACTCAAATTGATAAGCAGTTGTTAAATGCTTGGAATAATATGTCAGAGAAAGACAGGGAACCTTATTTCGTTCGCGCCAAGGATACCAAAAATAAAAGAACTCTAACCGCCAAAAAAACTGAACCTCCGAAAAAGGTATTTATATAATGGTTTAAATCAGACACGTATATATGCATATTTATTCATTTATTTTGTTTATCGTTAAAATCTCTCAAGTCATCCGAAACTCTTGATAACAATGATGACGACGATGATGAGGAAGAGAAAAAGCCAAAAAAAAGAGTTAGGGTCGCCAAGAAAGGGACCACAAAGGTATTTTGAATATATATATATATATATATATTTGAATTATCACATTACTAATACAGATGGTACTGAACTTTATACTGTAAAGACTGTCAAAAGTAAATTTAAATCACCCGAGACCATAGAAAGCGAAGACGATAAGTCTGAAGATCCTGAAAATGATAATGTAGAAAAGGAACCGGTCAATGATAGTGCAGACAAGAAACCAGACGACAATGCAATTGACGAAAAACATGAAGGTGATAATAAAAATGAATCGGATGGATTGAGCGATGTACCAGATGAGACTGATAACGAAAAGGAGCCACCACGCAAGAAGACTAAGAAGAATGTTGACAAAGATCATGAAAATTAATAATACTGTAATGACAAATGATCACATTCTTCAAGAAGTTATGATTTACATAAAATTAAACAATAAAACAAGGTCTTTATGTTGTTAACTTTGTTGATTTGAAACATAAATAAATACAGTATTAGTAAAATATATATATATCAAGTATTTCATTTTATTCAGACGGGGATTTTACCGGATTTTTTATGTCACGCAAATTCCGGACAAAACTTTAGATTCATATGTTTGGTATTTTAAGATGCCTTCTATAACTAGAATTTTATGCTAAAGCTTTATTAAAGATCCGAAATTAGAAATCTTGTTATTTTAATGCGTATTATTATCGTCAGTGCATCGTGAGTGTGTAGTTTAAGTAATCGACCAATCAAATCGCAGAAAACGTTAAAATATACAGTATATTTAGTTATAGCAAATTTTTAAAACAAATTTTACAAATTGACGATTGCTATTTGTACACCATGTGTATATACACACATATATTGATATCTCGAAATTTTGTTAATAAAACCCACTTCGGGGGTTCTAACAAAAAAGATTCCTTGCAAAAATTTTAGTATAAACTATAACCTCCTCTAACCCTAAAGCTAACCTTAAACTATACTAATTTTTTGTTTACAATTTATATATTAATCAAATTCGTAAATCAATAAATTAGTATGTGTGTATATACACCTGGTGTAAATTAAGAAATTTTCTTACAAATTTGTTAAGTTGAAATAAAAAATTTAATTAGAAATAGTTAGTTAATTCAAGTATTAAGTATAATTTTGGTTAGAATTATAAGATTTTTTTTTAATTTTGGCAATTTTATTAATATAGTAATTTTTATTAATACTGTATTGTTGTATTAAAAAATGTTGCAGATAATGCTGAAAACAAATAATACTGAAAATCACATGATTATATAATAATCTTTTGAATAAACAAATCTAAAATGTTTATAGAACCCTAGCATCACCAATTAAAAAATTTCACTGTTAATATTAGAGTTAGGGTTTGGGTATAATCATATTTTAATTTTTTTTTTTTTGGTATTAAGGTGACTTCTTGGTTGTCTCCTTTTATTCGATTATTGTTAACTTTTATAGTATAATATACCAAATTATATATATATTGCTATATATATTAATCATCTAATTGAGCAAGGATACAACAGCACCAGGATATAGGTGAGATTTTCTGGGTCACGTAAAAAATCGAGCTCCGATCAAGACCGGAATCACGTGATTAATTCGCAATAACAATACCAATATAAAATTTTTTTAAAAAATAATATACAATAAACTAGTATTACATAATCAATGATTACATAATTTTTATATCAATATTATATATTTATTACATTAATACTATAATTTTTACAGTACCAAAAAATAAAACATTGTTGTACATTATATCCTAATATTAAATATCTAATCCCAACTATCTAACTCTAACCATAATTAACAACACACCAACACAACGAATTAAAATCTAAAAACCTTAAAATCAGAAGCTCAATTCTAAAGAGAACAAATGAAAATTAATTGAAAAAGAGAAAGTACCCACCCAAAAATCCAAAACCAGAAGTTTAATTCCAAAGAGTACAGGTGAAAATTATCTGAAAAAGAGAAGTAGGCATTAGTTAAACATGTCATACAACCAAGAAAGCTAATTCCAAAAAGAACAAGCGAAAGCGAAAAGAGCGTTATAAACACGTCTCACAACCAAGAAAGTACCCACCCAAAAATCCAAAACCAGAAGCTCAATTCCAAAGAGAACAAGTAAAAGTTATCTGAAAAAGAAAGTAGACATTAGTTAAACATGCCATACAACCAAGAAAGCTAATTCCAAAGAGCAAGCGAAAGCGAAAAGAGCATTATAAAATTATCTTAACTAAGAAAATATCTACCCAAAATCCAAACCAGAAGTTCAATTCCAAAGAGTACAGATGAAAGTTACTTGAAAAAGAGAAGTGGGCGTTAGTTAAGCACACCATACAACATTCCAAAAAGAACAAGCGAAAGCAAAAAGAGCATTGTAAACACATTTCACAACCTACTTAAAAATCCAAAACCGGAAGCTTAATTCCAAAAAGAACAAGCGAAAGTTATCTGAAAAAAAGAAGTAGGCGTTAGTTAAGCACACCATACAACATTCCAAAAAGAACAAGTGAAAGCGAAAAGAGCATTGTAAACACATCTCACAACCAAGAAAATACCTATCCAAAAATCCAAACCGGAAGCTCAATTCTAAAGAGAACAAGCGAAAGCTATCTAAAAAAAGAAGTGGGCATTAGTTAAACACACTCCACAACCAAGAAAGCAAATTCTAAAAAGAACAAGCGAAAGCAAAAAGATGTTAATTAAACATACCGGAAGTCCAATTCCAGAAAAAAAAAGAATATTAAAAATATGCTTTTAAAAAAAAAAACCCAAAATAAAAAAAAAAAAGATTATATGTTGATCATTCAACAAATTTTAGAATTAGGTTGGAGTATCAAAATACATGTGACCCAGAAAATCTTACCTACATCCTGGATCTGTCGCAAAGATACATAGTATCACCTTATTTTCAGACACCTGACTTAAGACTTTAAAGCAGGCTTTTATTAAACCCTTTATCCTCGAAGTAAACCTACTAGAGCCTTTCATACTCACAAATCTGGCTAACCTAGACTTTTGGTAACTTATGCCAAGTCCAAGAACAAGTACTTGCAAGCCAAAGCCATTATTATTACCTACTATCACCCTTATAGAGTTTATCCAAACTCAGCACTCATTATACAGACTATCCTTCATATACCTGTCATCCAAACTTCCAATTCAGATGGCCTGAAAGGGTTGTGACCTGCTCTTGGTCCCTATAGTTGGGTTCTTTTTCTCTGATTACTCTCTGGTAGCCAGGTTGGTAAAGTGCTTTGCCAAACACTTCGGTTCTGTTTGGTTTTCTGGTTTTCTGATTAATAATCCTTTAAATAGTACCATCAAAGATCTGTGCTACCTCTCTATTTGGGTTTTACCAAGTGGGCTTCTATGTATGCTGACTCTGGATTTACACAGCTGTTTCACTTAGGTTTTGTATAATTCATGCATTACACTACATTCTACAGCCTCTCAGTACAACTGGTATGACCAGATTACAAATACCAATCTGTCCGTTTATACTCACAGTCTGCTATAACATATTCTGAAATTTGAATTTTCATCATTGGTGGGATTCAAACTCTAATCTTGCCACTTGGAGTGTGACAATTTTACCACCACTTCACTAAGTCACCACACTCCAATCATATTTTAATTACTCTAGTAGAATTAGATGTAATAAATATAAAATAAAAAAAAACTATCCTTATCTAAACTTAACTTTAATACCAATAGCAATAGTAATACTAGGTGTTTATACAGAAGATCATTATATGGGGGGGAGTCAGTAGAAATGTGACAAATCATTTTTAGTGAATTTTTTTTTAATTTTTAAATTACAATTTCTTGACAACTACTTAACTAATTTTGATAA